ACACGCCGGGCATCAAAGGAATCCCCCTTTGAAACGGGGCATCCTCCTCTTTATTTCCAACTCGCTTCCTCCTCTCTTTCTCTCGTTTTCTCTCCTCGTGTATTTACCTCTGCTGCGTTAACGAGTTTCGCGTACTTTCATGCAAAGCCTCCGGGCGCTTTTCATATCCCGGTGCGGTCCGTGCACGGCATCAAAAAACACCGGGACGCCGGTTCGTCCTTTCTTCTCAGGCATTCGAGCGGCCTTCTACCCAGCCGGGCCGAGGACGTTGCCGGGCTGTCGTCTTCCAGGCTGTTGCCTCCCGCGATACGGTCTCTTCGAGGCGTCGTGCATCGGCGCAACCTCCTTTCCGACGCTGCACCGAGCGATCCCTCCGCTCTTCTCGACCACCCTCGTCCTCGATGTCCCGTTTTATCCACCCCCGCTCGTTATCTGTCTTGCTTCTGCTCTCGGATGAGCGGCGACGACGGGCGCTGTCCTCGTCGGTAGAACGCGAAACCCTTTCGAGAGACGGCGCCCGCCTGGCTGCCTGCCTTTCAGGCGCCGGCGAACCTGCTCCAACACAGACTCGCGAACGCACGTACACGCACCGCAAACACCGAACATAGTACGGGACAAGCGAACGAGAGAAAAGGAGGCCAGAGACTGGAAGTAGAGGGAGCAAGAGGGGGCGATATGCGGATGGGGAGGATCGGGTTCATCATATATTTTCTCGCTCGGCGTCGCGAGACTTTTTCCTCTTCCAACAGTCTTCCTCGCCCTCCTTGTCTCTGACATCGTAACCCCTCTCGGCCCTATCAATGGTCGACCGAATTACAATCGGCACGATGGCGTGACTTGACTGGAGCGCGCGCACCTGTTGGCAGCTTAATCGTATAAGCGGTTCAAACGGTTCATGCGATTGATCGACGGAACAATTGCCGCGACGGATGCAGCCGCTGTTTGTGCCTGTCGCGGGACAATTATTCGCTGTTAACCGCTCGCGGACCAAGTCGGATGGAAGATTGCAACCGTAAGTTCCTTGCGTACTAGGAAGAGACGCAAAGCTCCAAGCCGAGACGTCAAATGAGACGTCGTTGCAACGCGCAGAGATATAAGAGCGTATTTCGCTATGTTTCCGGCAGAATCCGAATTTTCCGCGGGATAAAACTGCGGCCAGCTGTGCTTCCCCTCCCCCCCCCCCCCCCCCCCNTATTTCATCCACTTTCCTTCCAGTTGCCTCCGCGAAGACTGATATCCGAAATGATACATCGCGAACATTTATTTCGACTACGCCGTCTTTTCGTATATTTTCACATCTTTCTCCGCTTTGCAAGCGAAGATTCTACTTTTTTCTTTACATGGCGGAACTTTGTCGTGCGATGCTAATTACATTTAAATGCAATTCTGCGTCGAGGAAAGTGTTGGTAAGCACTCTCTACATTGAAACTTAATTTTGTTTTCTTAATGTGTACAAATTGAAAGACGATACGACTTCCGTGAGATCCAAAAATACTCGGAGAAAGAAAAGAAGATTGACGGCCTGCGAAGCAGCCGTCTGAATCAAACTAGAACAGAAGAGAATCTACGAATCTATGAATGAAATTTTTGAATCTCGCAATCTCTTACACCGCGGATTCTCTTATCATCCAAATCGGATTTCTGATTCTCCACAGACCGGCGATTTCATTTCCTCGGGTAACTTTGAATATCTCCCTGCTTAGGGACGTAAAAATCTGACTCGTAAGCCGCTTTCTTTTCTCTTCGTTAGAAAGGTCCTTTTAACCCCTTGATCTTTTTGTCACGGTCTTTCATACACATATCTTGTGGTTCGTCTGCTAACCTATTCGTCGACTGCTAACCTATTTCAACGCGAACGATCGGCTGCGCGTTGAAATACTGAATCTCAATACTGTCTCGCGCGCACTCCCGTCTAGCGAAGGCCGATCGATGATCGGTAACTCGACGAAACGAAATACATCCGTTTATTTGTCGAGACGATTCCACCGTCGCGACCCCACGGCGAAAGAGATCGCGGAATAAATATTTAATTTAGTAGCGAGCCGCCGTTGAAGAGAGGAGGAAGAACAGCGCATCGCTTGTCCCTCATAAATTTATTTCTCGCATCTCCCCCACCGTCCCCCCCCCTACTTCTCACTCCTCCGACGAGCTCGCCGCATCATTTCTTTTTTCTTTATGCACCGAGGAAGATTTAAGTATTTAATAACCGGCTCGCTCGTAGAAGATACAAGCGCTCCGAGGCGTTATTTAACCTAGAGTATCCGTCATTCTCGCATTATTTTTCCGTCTCTCTTATCCATTCACTCTCTCGGCTATCCGTGCTTTCGACTCACCTATTCTCTCGCCTCTCGACCGTTCATAGTCCAGACGTCTGCGAGGATCGGCGATCTGGCGACGAGCGGTTTATTAATCCCTGTCGCTGCAACACGCTGCAACGGAAAATTAAAACGAGACAATTAGAAAGCGACGGAAACATAGCCGGACAATCAGCGTACACGGAATTTAATAATTGTACATGAAACTTTTATTTCACTTCCATTTCTCGAGCTATTTTTCCGAAATACCGAAACACGGGGATATCACATCAGAAATATCAGACAGATATAAATTTTACGAATCACCGACGAAACGTTATCAGCGCTCAGATATTTGATTAAAACGGCGGTGATTGCGGCAAGGAATATCCATCGTTATGAACGCCGAGCACTTCGGTAAAACGAGATCCACTTTCGGCGCTTGCTAAGCCGTCGGGAAAGCATTAAACGGCATGACGGCTTCTGCGGGGCGACTTTAAGGCGGTAAAACCTTTGGCAGCGCGTTTTAGCAGGCGCTGCGCGAAAATTGCGATCTATCATCTTTGCGGACGCTTCGCTAGTGAATCGTAAACAATGTTATGCAAATATTAAAGTCGCGGGCAACATTTGAATTACTTTTGCATACAACTTTTCACGCGACGGTATAATAGAAGAAGATTGATCGACGACCCGCTCGCTCACATGACAAAGCTTTCGTCGCGCGACCGCAATCTTTTGCCAAGAATTTAATAAAAATCCGCTCGCTCGATTTTCGACTTAAGCGCATCAATCGTCCCTTAACGAGCATAGACTTTCTCTATCGCCGGACGATCGATCAACCCGCGGTCGTGATGAAGGACAGTACAAACGTCACCGCTTGACTTCACGACATAGGAAAAAGACGACGCGAGAATATCTCCTGCCTACGATTGTAACCCACTTCGTTGTAAACAGCTCGCTGACAAATGATAAACAAGCGAAGTGTCGACCGGCTGCATCTCCTCCTCTCTTTAGCGTTGGATCGTCGTTGGACGCACGAGTACATTTTCTCGCGTCACGAAAGGCGCAAGGGTCCAACCCGTAAACCACGCGAGGGTCGGCGGGTTTATTTGAAAAAGGACGACCCTCTCGAGAGTAAGATGCGGTGGAAGCCGTTACCGGTGATAGGGTTTGTATACTTCTCGAAATAAAAGAGAAAGGGCAGAGAGGATACCAGGGGGCTGTATCGGAGCAGCGTCACTTCGAAATTCGAGAACTGAAGTCATTAGTCGGAAAATCGAGATCCTTATTGATGAACCTGACCGATTTGACACGGCGAAATCAGATTTGTGAAGTTAGCATCCTGAAATGCGAATTCTTATAAAATTCACTCGTTCGTCCACGTTTCGTCCATTTGTAAAAAAAAATTATTTCTAACCAAAATTTAACTTATTTTAGGCGTATAAGAGCCTCAACACGGATATCCCAGTGCGATTATTATTATTAATATAGTTAATATCAATATTATTTGTGGAAAGCCGCATGTTTAGTTGTGTACTAAATGCATGTCCAAATCTTCTTTCGGTAATTGTATGTGGAGAACTAACCTTTTCATACTAGCAACGTTTACTATAATAAGAATCAAAAATATAAGTCACGCTATGGGAATACGGGTTAACGGGAAATATCTAAATTATTCATCTGGGAATAAATGTGATCGGTTTAACATGAAAATGCTACTTCTCCGCATACGATTACCGAAGGAAAATTCGGACGGACGTTTAGTATATAACTAAATATATATTTACCCACAAATAATATTAAAAATCGCACTAGGACATCCATGTTTGTAGGCTCTTGTAGGTCCAAAAATAAGATCTTTGGTTGAAACCAAATAGAGCCGTTATTACTTAATTAAAAATTATTTTTACCCCGTAAAACCCCGTACAAAAAAGTAAAACCCACCCCGTAAAAAAAAGTTAGAAACAAACACAAAAAAAAAAACACAAGAAAACAATAATGTCATGAGCATCACTGACTGTGTATTTTTTTTAGTGATGTATTGTGATCGATTGTCTACGATTTGTCCACGCTTGTCCATCTATGATTCTTGTTTGTCAACCGAATCTAATATAATCAAGCAAAAAAGGACTATTAACAAATAAAAACAGACAAGACTGTGATGAATATTACTGACTAACTTCTCAGATGATATTAATGAATTCTAATCGTTTAACAACGTATGATAATATATATGATGATAACATATGCATTGAGAGAAAAAATTATCGAATGAACAAAACCTCGCTTATATGAGCCAAATTCGTACAAACAAATATGAAATCGACCGAACGAATCATGTAATTACGTGATGCGTACTATTATGATTGCTATTATCTAATTATACAAGTCCATTTTGTGTAATTTACAAATTATTACAATATTACAAATTATTCAAGTAACAAATTATTAACTGATTCAGTGATTACGATTAGTCACGCACTGCATTATCATGTTTATTATGACGCAACTCGTGTTTGCCTTAACACGTAATTTATTCAACAAACACATTTATTTGGACGAGCATTTGATTCGATTGTTTTTTCCCCGGTGTATAATATGTGAAATATAATAATAATACGTGCAAATGTTTTCAGTAAATAGAAAAATGAAAAATAACATCGCGATTTAACTTACCTGCTCACTATCGTTAACATAATAATTCAGCTGGATGATCGAGGATTTTATTCAGGCGATTCAGTCTATTTTCCGAAGAAAATCCGTCGTCGTCCTTTCTTCTGCGTGGCGATCGCGACGACCTCGATTTTCCGAGTATTTCCATCGGAAACGCGTCTCTGAGTAAACTCGAAATAAGCCACGGTATTCGCGCGCCGTGAGCTCTCATCTCCCGAGTAATTGTGTACCTGGGACACGCAATTACGGACCTATCGTTAACACCTTGGCAATATTTACGTTGGTTTACGACGTAGGTATGGATGCACGCTATCAATCATCGGGAGTCGAGGCGTCGACGACGACGAACATTCGTCGTCGCTTATCGTGATACGTGAAGAGAGCTCTCTTCGACGTCACGTATCGTAAGCCTCGTTGACGAGGAAGAGACACGCTGAAGTACCAATGTTTAAAGTATGTGACATATCAGCGAACAGAGACGTATACTCGCCGAATCAAGGAGAGTTAATCGAACCGAAGAATTAATAATAATGCTACCAAAATCTAATCTCACTAAATTCAATTTCCGTTTTTCTTTTAATCCTAGCTCCGGTTCAATAGGTCGTTGAATGTTTTCCAATTTCCCAGTTTTCACATGGCATATTACGTGTTTTTTTAAGTAACAGATGTCCGTTACAACGAACGAACATTACTTTTTCCTAAATCGCATTTGCGAAGCTATTTGAACATTTTTCCCGAAAATATCTCTTTTTTTATAAGTTTAGCTTAAACCCAAATCATATTCTTGACCTGATATCGCAAACATCTTATTTATTCCATTTCCAATTCTCACATTGCAAGCTTAAAAATATCAATTGGAACGAAAATGACAGGACGACAAAGTTAAGGCAATCCCAAGGATGAGTTAAGGACTCAAAGGTAAATGTACGTAGCTGAGGTTAATGCACTACGTTTATCGAAATTCGTTTCATTAATTCGTTTCATTAAACTGCTTATTGTCAACCTTCGTCTTTTCTCACCTTACACCGCTGAGCTGATTAGATAGCGTTGAATTTTTATTGCCGGGGTATATTACGTTGATACTCGACGTTGTGCATTGCAACTGGATAAACCGTCGTTGCCATAAATCGCCGATTTTTGCACATGTAGCTGGAGCACACAGCGAAACAAATTCTGAAAACAAGATTGCCGCGTATATCGTATGAGTAAAAAAAGTCTTGCCGCCGGGAAGATTTATATTCGTTTGGGTGAAGTGTTACGCTCGTGTTTACGAGCGTTCGATGTAGCGACGTTCGAAGGAGGCGAAATAAATGGCCGATCGAGGGGAAGAGTCGATATATGGAAGGCATCGCGCCAATATCGGGACCCCTACGTGTATATCTAAGCTAATGCGCGATTTAATCCTCGATCAGGTAAATAACACATCTTTCACGCGCGATTTAGTTCTCGCTTTAGACAGAAGGGCGACAAAAGGCAGCTAACCTCTTTCACGTGCGGAAACCAAGTTGGCAAAAGAGGGCTCGGAGTACGATCGATCACGCAGTTAAATCTATTACCTTAGACGCCTCTACTCAACGAGAAGTACATACTCGTGCCGCTAGGTTAGGTGTTAGCGTACGCGCGGAGTACATTGTTACAAACCTCATTCTCGCCCTTAGCTTCCGGGACCTCGGCGAAAGTTGGAGGCGTTCGCGAATGCACGACTCGAGTCAAGTGTGAGCTCGATCTCGACCAAAGGTGTTTCAGTCTGAAACATTGTCGGAATATCAAGTCGACTTATTGGAAGTTTCGTTATTCCTAGATCGTCGAGGAAGAACGAAGCAGGATCGAGGAAAGATTTGACCGGGGAAGGTCGAGCGCGCGCGCGAATCGGCCGGCTTCCCACTCATCGTCACGTAGTCGTACCTGCGTGCCGACATATCACGTGGTCGGCGGAATCAGCCGAGCGCAGCCGAAGGTCGTGCCGAACACGTACGCGGCGCTCCCCGCCACAGTTCGAGATCGGCCAGCGCGACGTCGTGACGTGTTCGTAGTCGGTCGGTAGTAAAAGTTGTTCGGATGCGTTGTATCATCTACGTACGTTCGATCCGTCGTTGATCGAACACGGGGACGACAACGCGATCGCGAGTGGTGTCAGTGATCGGAGATACGTAACGTGTGTCGACCGGAGATTAACAGAAACACGGAGACCGGTGTGTGAACGAACGGGAGAAAGAAAGAGAGAGAGAGAGACTGTTGTCGTCGGTGAGGAGAGTGGAAAGAGACAGGTGGTCAGCGTCACGATGGCAGCCTGTGAGCGTCTTATCGTTCCGATCGCCGTCCTTCTGGTGCTGCAACTAACAGGTACGTTCGAAAATATCCGACGTGCGATAATGCGCCGGTGCACCGCGCGGAATTCGCCCCCCTCGGAGGAATCTCGCGCGCGGTTTCCCACGGGACCGCTCGCGTGATACCGTTCGCCGTCGTACTTCGGTGTAGAAAGTGTTAGGAAGAGAGAGATAGAAAAGAGAGGGAGGATAGAAAGAGAGGCACGTAAGCGGGCACGCGAGTACACTCAGCAGGTGGTTAACCGCGCCGGCGTTACACCGTTCTGGAATTCGAGGTTTCCGACGCCAACCGACGCCATTATTGCGTTATCCATGAATTTGAATTCGCCTTCGAAACAGGCAGGCGTCTGGTGTCACGCGGCGGGAGTTTGAATTTGAAACGCCGCGCATCCCCTCGTTGCAATGTCGCGTCCGTGGATTCGTTCGAATCCCGGAACGGTCCGCCAACCGTCCGTGGCCGCTTTTTCCGCCTTCGGGATTCCCTTCGTAGCTGCACTTTCTGCACCTGCAGTTTTCCTCTTCCCCTTTTCGCAACCGCGCATTCTCTGCATCCGCAGTTTTCCTTTTGCCCTCCTGCCGTAACCGGCACTTTTTGCACCTGCGCTTTTTCTTTTCACTTCCGATATACCAATAAATAGGGCTACTTCGTTCTATTTTAAGTACAGGCGAAGAACGCAGATATAACACACGTAGTAGAGAGGCTAATGAATACACGCAGACCTACGGGTTCCACGGGCTTCTTTTGTTCGGGCGAGGGCAGTACATACGTCCTGTTGCCCGCACGATCATTCGACCGATGCGGTTTCCTGCGTATCCAGCTTGTCACACCTGACGATCTTCCTCGGTGACGATCCGCCTGTAATGTCCGCCTCAACGAACTAGAATGCAGCATGCACGAATTCGTCAGCGTTGAATCATTAGCGGTTTCGTCAATTCGTAATGAGCGTGAATCATGCTGAAGAATCTAGAGAACTAGATATTAAGAATATTATGAGTAATTCAAGGAAACCAGCAGTTCGAATACACATATTAAACAGTCTTATTACATGCATTTGTAACGTCAATTTCAGATTGTGCTTTGAATATTTTTTTCGCGTTTAATCAAATGTGCTTAGAATCGTTCTCTTATTAATATTTTATCAATCTAGAGATTATATATTTTGCGTTCCATCATTTTTCCGAAATGATTTAAATAATCTACCAGATTTTAGGACCAAATTTACGCAGATTTTGATTTTTAGCAGTAGACACTTCATTTTTAGCACTGCTTTCTCTCTTGCACGCAATTTTTCTTCAGGGATCGGTTTCGAATAAAATTTTTAATACGATATCGCAGAAGTTTGAAACCAATGATCATCTCGACAATAATTTCGCGATTTTTTTTTTTTTTATCGAAAATCACGAGTACGCTGGCTTTGTCGTATCTTTTGCGTCCATAAATGAGAATTAACCTTGAAGACAGTCCGCGATAATCCGTACTTCAACGCAAACATTCGAGGACGACCACACGCTGTTACAGCTGTGCAAATGCTAATTATATGCATTTGTTGAAAACGTCTAAGGCTAATCCTCTTTGGGCGAATAAAAGCAATTCCGAACTCGGCCGGCTTTGAGAACTGATAGAAAAGGGAGTCGTGGAAAAGTTACTCACGAATCAGCGGGCCTTCCTATTGTGCCCGTCGAATACTTTTCTCGAAATTGCTGGCTCGACCTCGGCCCGTCTTCGTGGATACCTGCGGATCTCGCGCAATTTACAAGGAGGGAGTCTGCTCACCTCCATCCGAGGCTCCCTTTTCTCCTCGAGCGTTCTCCCTTTCGTTTCGATCGTCCATTTATGATCCGGCTCTCCGCGAGGCCGTCGTCGAGCTATGCGTCCCTCCCTTTCTCTCTTTTCTTTGCTATCTTCTCTCTTTTCTTCTTACCTCGGTCCGGTTCCGTCGAGTTGCCTCGAAACACCGTCGTCGCCTCTTTTTCTTCTTTCTCTCTCTCTCTCTCTCCCTCCCCTCCCACCCCTTGTCCCTTCGCCTTACAAGCGTCGTCGTTCCGCTCACCGGTCGTAATTTATAAATGTGCGTGCGAAGGAAGAGAGATGCGATGAGAGGAGGAGTGATAGAAAAGTACCGTTCGCTAGAACGTTCCACTTTCCAACTTCGCGCCGTACTCGCACGGCGCCTGTACTCTTTTCTAGACGTGTTATTTCCTTTTCCACGGTGGAAGTTGGGTGGAAATCGCGGACATGAACTTAACCGGCTCGCGCAACATTCTAGCGAATTGTGCAACAATAACGGTTGGCGATGCCCGAGTTTCGACACGGTGTGTGCTACGATTTCCCTCATTTTCTTCAAACTCTCATTCACGAACATTAAAGTGATGAGGTGGAATTCCAGGGAGCATTTTTTCCGCTTCAGATAATCTTTTGAGAAAATTCCACTCGAAGGATTGAATGTCACGTAATTTGTTTTAAGAGCACGCGTGCCTTTCCGCATTAGAAGGTGACCATTGAAAAACAATACGAAGTAATATGAATCGCTTATTTCCTTCCAATTCTTATTAATAAATATTAAAACGCTGGAATGAATAATGAAATTCCAGAAATTACATTTTTGTCGTTTTAAATGAATTCACCGTGAAAAAAATTTGTCGGAACAATGTATTATACAATCGACTCTAAAGTCACTGGCGCGTTCTTTTACGTCGAAAAAATGTAAGTTAATACAATGGTCGAGAGTTCTGTTCGCACTGAGGTCACGATGTTGCCACGCGTGCAACGGATAGATAGCTCCACATGAATGGAGAACGACGAGATGTCGATCACCTCACACGTACCGTAACAAAAGACCGTAAAAGATGTTAGAGCGGAAAAAAGTGAAAAAAAAAATATTATGACGGTTAAAAGACTTATCAGTTCTTTTTCCGTTTCCCTTGTAAATTGCGGCGAAGCATTCTCGACCACTCGTCTTTCTTGGGCGACGAATGGATCATCATCTTTCATCTTTCTTTTTTTTTTCATACCGTCTCATTGTCACGATCTGACCGGCGCACGTATAAATTATGGTAGTTGACGTTACGTCTGTGTAATTGTATGGATCTTCGTCATGTCAGTTGGATACTCTCGTCGCGTAAACCTCTCGGGAAATATTCCTCGACTACGTCTCTAAGACTATGCTCGACGCGATGGATGCGCGTGTCGTACGGAGACACCGATCATTCGTCACTGTTAGACCTCTCCGGGAAAACATTGACGCAGTCGAAAAATTCGATTCATTAAATTCCAAAGTATTAACCAAGCTCGTCAAAGCAAATGCAAATAATGACGTGTGTAATTTATTCGTAACTAAGCAACGTTAAAGTTTATTACGTGTCAAGAGGTTGAGAGGCAGTTTAATTATCAAAATATTCTAACGTTGAAAAAACACGAAAAAAGTCGCGACAGTGACAAATGGTCGAAGGAGCTGTCATTAAAATTAAACGTCGAGGATTTTCATTTGAGGGTAATTAAGTTACCTCGTTTATGGCTATAATATCCCTTCTTAACGATCCTCTCTTATTACGTTCATTTATTAAGCAAATATCACATCTCAACATTCGTATGCAAGTGTCATCATCTTTGACATGTACAATCCAATTTTTGTAAACAGCCACTCAAAAGACGGGCGCTTTTAATTTTCAAAATTAAATATTTGCCGCGACTAGAAAGCAGACAAAGGCCGGCCTCGTTTGCCTTCCACACTTTTCGCAATTTCTCAAGAACGCGCGATATGAACGATAAAATCGAACGAGGGCGCGCCGGAAGAAACTTTCGCGGCGGCTTATCGTGGGGATTTTCCTGCCGGGGCCGGTCGCGTGTCGCGGGAAAACGAGAAGAAAAGCGATGGGAAAACGGCGCGCCACGCCGCGTCGCGCCGGCGGTCGGAGCAGTTTATCGCGCGGTTACTCGTAAGTGAGAGAAAGAGAGAGAGAGAGAAGAGAGAGAGAAGAGACCGTTGATTATGGTTATTGCGCTGTTCGCGCGCAGCCAGGAAAAATGTGTTCCGTGGAAACCGGCGGAGCGAGCCGGCGCCAGTTAATGAGCCGCGGCGGTTTTTTTAACGGCGGTATTTTAACGGACACACCGTCACCGTAAAAACGGGTCGCCCCCTTCTGTCGCATTGTTGGAGAAAACGGGCGAGTAGGAAAGCGAGACGAAGGGATGGATGCTCGACGCGGGTCTCCACCGTCGATAATTAGCGATCCTCCGAGGGAAATTCCGTACTGGGTGCGCGAAGGAAACGACCGAGCTTAAATGCGGATCTTCTCGCGGCGTTACGGTAAAAGCACCGGACACGCAATGGAACGTCCGCTTTCATTTATTGCTTCCGGTAGCCCGCGACGTGTATTTTAATTACGATTCTTGCGAGTGCGCGCGCGGTAATTTGTTTTGTCTCACGGCGGATCTTTTTAATGGCGACGGTACTACCCGGCGTTTCTATTATTGCTATTTGGAAT